CTCTTATCTTCTTCCTGGGTAACAAAACACTAGAGGTAGGGGGCTGGGGATTTAGCTCAGCGGCAAAGCCCCTGCCTGGCAAGTGCAAGATCGTGAGTTCGGTTCCCGGTACCGGAGAAAAACCAAATAAATAAATAAATAAATAAATAAATAAAATAAAAAATAAATAAAAATAAAAAACACTAGAGGTAGCTCACACATGTCATGGCAGTGGGCAGAGTTTCTTGGGCATCAAGGTCCTAATGAGTTCTTCCATGATGTCCTTCTTCGGAGTGGCTGTTGGCATCCACCTGCTATTCTTTGACCCTTACCTGTGGTGTGGCTGAGCTGTTCTGGCAACAGGTGAACCAGGGAGTCCAACCCATTGCCTCATACCCAAGGTTTCCACCCTCTGACCTTCCCCTGTGCTAGCCGGAGGCCTCTTCTTGGCCACTCAGGGCTGAGCCCTCAGCTGTGCACCAATCCACAATATGAGATGCTCTAAGGCTGCCACAGGCCCTGCCTAGCCCTCCATGCTTCTGTTAGTTTTCAAGGGCTTCCAGAAAAAAATGTCACAAATTGGGTGGATTAAAACAATAGAAATGTATTCCCTCACAGCCCGGGAAGCTGGAAATGCAAAGTCAGGTGTGGTGGGGTTGGTTCTTTCTGCAGTCTCTCAGGGGAGAATCTGCCCCATGCCTCTCACGAAGCACTCCTGGCTGCTAGGAGCCCTGAGGGCTCCTTGCCTTAGGACTGCATAGCTCTACTTTCTGCTCCCATCTTTACGAGGTCTTCTGCTTTCTGAAACTCTGCCTTTATATCTCAGAAGGACCCTTGTCCTTGGATTGAGAATCCTACCTAACCCACCATAATCTCATCCAAGATCCTTACCTTAATTACTTCTGCAAAGACACTTATTCCAAATAAGGTCATGCTCTGAAGTTCCAGCTGGATCTATCTTTGGGGGCTCACAATGCTATTCCTCTGGGAAGATACCCAGAGGAATTAAAAACATCATACCACAGCGATGTATATGCACCCATGTTTATAGCAGCACAATTTGTAATAGCTAAATCTTGGAAACAACCCAAATGCCTATCAACTGAGGAATGGATAAAAAAGATGCGGTATTTTTATACAATGTAATACTACTCAGCTGTAAAGGAGGATAAACTTGAGACTTTTACAGGTATATGGATGCAATTTGAGACCATACTCATAAGTGAAATAAATCAGACTCACATGTGTAAACATTGTATGTCTCCCTGGTGTGAAAAACTTAAATAGTAAATAAGTTCTAAAATGTACAATAGATGTGCAATGAGAAGAAATCGTTCCAAAGGAAAAAGGAATTAGGATGGCTGAAAGGGGAAAGGACAGTAGGGAAAAGGGAAAAAAATATAAGTCAGTTATACTATTAGTGTCTTTTAGTCCATTGAAAAGGAAGATTTGTGCTAATACCAACTGGAAAAAATTTTATGCCCATGTTTGTACCCTGAGCAACTACTTTAAAGACAATATTACCGTATTAACTCATCTTATTCTCCTAAGATTTTGTTATGAATTTTTGTTTTACCTTTATTCCATAAAATAAAACTGTAAAAATAAATAAATAAATAAATTGCAACACCCACGCCTTGCACTATGGATAATTTTACTGTGTTTCATTTTTCACTATGGCACTTTCACCTTCTATATAATATCGTTACAATATGTACTATACATTATTATATAATAAATGTTTACATAATTAAAATGATTATATAACAAAAATACTGTTGATTCTTGTTTGTATTCATTATGACTAAAACCAAAATTATGAAGACACAGTATATAACAATATAAAAGGTAAAATCTTATTTTTTTCATAAAACCAAGTATCACAGTGGAAGCCTGCCTCTGAATATCTGCCTTTGTCTTCTGAGATGGGCACCCTAAGAGTTCCATGTGCGCAGTAGGTACTCTATCGCAAAGGTGACAGTGCTCTGTCACTGGTGATTTTCATTTTAAGACCAATAGCGTATGTTGCCTCCCAGGAAGTTGATTCAATGACATTCAACTTTTCTACTTTAGAAGAAAAGATCTGAATCTCTGTAGAAGTCTCCCCCAGCCTGATTCTGTGCTTTTGCTGGTGTGAAGTCACTTCACACTGACAAACAGGCATGGACCCGCTCTCTCTCATTCATTCACATGTTTGCAAATGACCTTAAATCCCCCTGTGTGCCAGGCCCTGGGGATATCCTGGTGACCTGCACAGGCCCTGCTGTGGAGCAGGAAAGACAGCAAGCAAATGAAGAGCACGAAGACGAATCTCGGTCCTCACACTCAGTGGTGGAAGACCTCACCTTTCCAGACTTTAATCTGCTTTGTATTTCAGTCTCTCATTCTCCAGAATGGCAGAAACTGTCTGGGTCCATTAGAGACCTTCACTTTTCATGAGTAGCTGCTTGTGTGTATATGAGAGACGCATCTTAGGAAGTGTTGAGGAGCTGCTGGGAAGGGATGCTGTTATGGTTGATACATTGTGTCAACTTGGGGAGTCTAGAGGTTTGGCTAAGTGACTCAGCAGGAAGCCAGGGTGCTTGCTTTGTATACATCCTGAGCCTGTGGAAGAGGAGGGCATGGAGATTATGTGAGAGCTACACACTCCTTAGGTGGGGGTAGCCTGTTTACAATGTAAGGCAGGGAAAGAAACTGCTTGCGGCCATTCCTCCGGTTTGCTCAGGCTGCTTTGCTGTTTGGCTGCCATTCCCCCTTTGCTCTTGTTGCTTTGCTACCTTCTGCCTCCGAGCCAGCCAAGTATGGACTGAAACCTCCACAAACTGTGAGCTAAATAAACCTTTCCTTCTTTCGTTTTGGGCGTTGGGTATTTTGTCTCAGCAACAAGAGAAAAGTAACCAAGACAGATGCAAAGGACATGCTGTCCTCTCAGCCCCCTTGAAGCTTCCTTCCATTCTTTATCCACCGACATACCTACTATTCCACAGATGCTTGCCTCCAACCTCTGAGAAGTGCCCAACTCAGCGGCCCTCACACCCACCTTTCCGCCATGTGGCACTCTCAGCCTCAGATTCACGCATGCCTCTTGGTAAAGTCTGCACCAAACCGGGGTTTCACCTCTGTTCTGAGTCCACACCTCTGAGTGGGGTCTTTCTGCCCTGCATGGCCCACACTCTCACCACACAACTCAGCAGACACACTCAGCAGGAAACCGTCCAGATGGCGACTCACGCCAATTTCCCTCTTGAATTCTGTGGCTCCCCTTTCCTCCTGGCCGTAGAGTCCTCTCCATGAAGCCAGCAAAGGGGGAAAGACACAGCGTGGAAGACTCCACGAGCGCCAGGCCAGGTCTTGTCACCCTCCCGAGTCAGACCTAGGTCCAACCTCTAGGATGGCCAGGAAGTCTGGACAGTGTCGCTGCTGCGTGTCCAAGAGAAAGAAACAAGGCTGTGCGTACCGTGGAAGATGCCAGGCAGCTCCTCCTCTCTCCAAAACGTGAGCTAAAAGGAGAGAACTTTCTGCCTTCCCCTGAGGGCATGAACGCGGAGGACAAACATCAAGGGAAGGTGTCTTTTGCTTTCTTCCTTCCACTGCTGCCCTGTGGGGTGTGAGCCTGACAGCCCTGAGGCTCTGACACGTTAGGGGCTGTGCGCCTCCTCACACGCTGTGCGCGCTGCATTGCTGCAGCGTGGGATGCCCACACCACCCAGGCCTTCGAGAGTTCCAGTAAGAATGTCACGAAGAGACGCTGCGCCTGGGCAGACGGTTCAAAGCAGGGGCTGGGGGGCCAGGAGCTGAGTGAGGTTGGGGCTGGAGAACAAGGGGGTTTGTAACAGATGGGGAGTGGGGATAAGAAGAACGAAGGTCGTCCACGTGCCCACTCCCACAGTGAATGTAGTCATCATGCACTGCAAACAAGTACCAAGAGAATGTGAAATGTTCAAAAGATAGTTGAGTAATATGCGTCCCTGCTTACGACTCCCAGCACACCACTGAGTTAAGTAGATGTTACATTAGTGCTCAACTGTTCTTTCCTCTTATTAGGGATTCTTCCTAACTAGCGTCCCTATCTGGATGTGCCTGGCGGGGCTGGAGGCTTCGCCCCATTCCCAGGTCAGCCCTGTTCAAAGCGTGAAATGAAAACCAGCGGTGGACCAAACGCACCAGTTTACAGCCCCTGGGCTCGTGTGGCTCCCTGGCATCCTGACGGGCGGCCGCAAGCGCTGAGGACCCCCCGCCACCGCGGCTGTGCTTTGCAGAAAGAGCTCCGCGGCGACGCCTCAGCGTGGTCATTGCACAGCCCCAGCAGCCGCTCGCCCGGGCTGGCTCTCTCCTCTGCGCAGGTGCACACCCAAGGTGAGCAGCGGAGAAAGCGGAGAAGCTCGTCCAGAATGGGCACCGCTGGCCTAGGCCGCGGCAGGGAGAGATCTACCGAGGCCACGCGGAAAGAGAGTGATGCCTGGGCTGGGGACAGGTAGACGGGAGCAGAGGAGCGAGCGCCCCGGCTCGCGCTGTGCCCGTGCTGCCCTCGCGGCGCCAGCAGAGGGCAGCGCTGCGTCTCGGCCGAGCGCGCGGGCGCCAGCGCG